AATTTTATACCAAAAAAATTATTTGAAAATATGGGAGTTCTAATAAACTATGAGTAGTGCAACCATTTTCAATAATCTTAAAGTTGCGCATTATACTTGTATCTTCCGTTTGTTTATGATAAATAAAAATGCCTAGTGTCATCACTTTAGGTGCCTTGACTTATAGTGTCAATCCCAATTGATGCTAGGACATACTAACTTGTAAAGACCAAAAGGCGAGACCAAGAAAAGGTCAAGTCCATGCCGAGCAAAACATGACCAAAAAGCAAGATTGGGATAACTTCCTTTAATTGTTGTATGATGAACTGGAAAACGATTACATTGACATTATGTATTGTACAAGTAAAAAAGACATTCTTTTGAATTTATTCGTATGTCCGGTATGCAAGGTGATTTGGGTTCGATTTTGCACATATGGGATTGTTGATTGAAAGCATTTAACTGACATAAAGGCCTGTAATCCTATTTATTATTTGAAATGGTATTTATATTGGAAATGTTAAGCCTGAAAAATGTTCCATCATTTGCCTCAATCAGGAAGGGTTAGGCATGTGGCTAGTTGAATTGATCTGATCAACTTCCGAAGCACCATTTGATTTATAATGGAGAAAATTTTCTTGTGTACAAGTTTTATAACATTCAGAACTGCATTCGGACACTCAAATAAGGTTTATACTTGTATCTTCCGTTTGTTTATGATAACTTTGGCAGGACAACTTGATTTAGGTGATTTATTTCCCTAGGTGAAAGTATTGAATTTGATCAGTTGGAATAATTTTAAGATGTTGAAGATGCAGCGTAAACTTGATGTTAATCTTGACGCCATTATTGATGAGCATAGAAACAATTTGATAGCAACTTCAAAATTTATATGTTATTTAGTACTATATTAATATTAAACTACTAAAATGTATTGAATAATGAGATTTTTTGAATAAAATATTATAAAAAAAATTCTCAAAATTTCAAAATAAATGCATTTCTAATTTTATGTTTTCAGAAACGGTTTTCCAGAATGACAAAAAGAACGCATTTTCAGCAATTTCAAAACAGACGCTCAAAACACAAAACACAAAATGAATTCAAAACTCAAAACTCTAAACTGAAACACGAAGAGAACAACCCCTTAATGTTTGAACCGTTGTTCCATTTTAGAAGAGTTTCCAGAATTCCGCCTCTGTTTTTTAAAATGGTGTTGTGGCCGGTATACTTAGAATTTTAGCCAGTTTTAAATTGGAAAATGAACCCTTGTGAGTTGTTTATCATGTGAAACTGGAAATAGGTCGAAGGAGTCATGTAGAATTTACAGTAATAGTTTTAACAAAACTGTGGCAGCCAAATTCGGGAATACGCTGACCAGCTGTTCGGAATAATTTCGAGCTTCAAACGTAGGCTTCGAGATCCCGAATTTTCGTGAAGGTTTGCTAGGTCAAATATTTTTTGCAAAACTCGTCGTCTAACTGTAGAAAACTGTTTCAGCTTGCATATTTTTTTAAAATTAATAAAAAGTAAAATTATGATTATATGTTCTGAGTAAATAAGTTGTAAATTGGAAACTTTCTTAAATCTTGTACTTAGGAGATTATTGTTAAATAACGCATTCTTGGTAACACGTTGGGTTATTAGAATTCGGGGCGTTACAAAGGCATAGTTTGAAGAGTGTGCTCTATGAAAATTCTTTTTTAGTTCACTGGTTAAGTAGTATTCCTCTCAAAGTTTAGTGAGCATTTGTTGATTTAATCCAAGAATTGTCTTAGACTAAGGTTTAGGTAAGGACTTAATCATTGTTCATGCTGAAGGATTCTCTGGTTGGTCAGTTTGTCAAGCTTAAATTGGTTTCTCGTGTTATTCTCAGTGGTGGACAAGGGTGGCCAACTGCTCAAGTGCATTCATCATTCTGACAACTATCCCTTGCTCCATCTGAATACACCTGCATCGCTCAAGTGGATAAACCAACTCTGCTTTTAACCCAAATTGAAATTCAATGAACAAAAAGCATAACAACGAGTACTCCATTCTCAAATAACTTTGTTCAATTCTTTTATATCATCAGTACTAATAGAGCTAAACCAACCTCCCAAACCCCCAGGGACGGAGCCAAGAATATTTTCCAGTGCGGGTGAAATTTAATCAATGCTGGACTTTGATAATACTTATCTACGTGCTACAAGAACTCTTAAAAACAGCTACAGAAAATAAGACCAGGAAAGAGAAATACAAAAGAAATCCTCACTGCGGCATGAATATTAGCATATGTTGATCCGTTTCCTGCTGTTGGATGTTTGGCTTTCTGAAGATGAAACAGAAACAGCTGAGCCTGGAAAAGAGACCATCACCTCGGCAATTTCAGAATTTAAAAAAATTACATAACTTCTAATTCAAAATTCTAGAGTGCCCTCTACATGTATGGACACTTAATGCATTAAAGAACAATAAGCAACTATACCCCGAGGACATATGGTAACAGATTATACAGGATATGTAGCAGCCAAGAAAGAACGTGAAAGTGACACAAACATCTTGCACCATCATTATCACAGTTTGAATCAAAGACTCCAGAATACTTACATTGCAAATGACACTCATGAATGTACTCTTAATATCTGATAGAACTTTGTTGTCCTATAAATAAATTAAGGTGCAGATGTTCTAATATCTCAACTCAAACTACAGGCTAATTTGGAGGGAACTTGAACTCTCTCTGAACCCTGAGAATTCAATACAATCACATATTTCCTTTATTATTCGTTTATATACTTGATTGTGCTGCCAAAGTAAGAGTAAAATTTTTCCATGGGAAGCACTCAGTGCTGCATGATTCCTAACACAAAAATAACTTTAAAAGGTGCTGAAGATGTCAGTCCAGTACCTGAATAAAATTTCTCGGTTTAAAAACTAAACCATACACAAGAGATTGATTAATAAACTCCAGAACTCTATATTCTCTATAATTCAACAAACAGAATGCAAATGTGGAAAATTTTTATTGCTTTATATGAAGTTCCACTTTGAGAATTCACTCAAATGAACTTGGGGAAACTATGATCCGACAGATCATAATTCAAAAATAAATAAATAAATCTAGACTTAGTAATATATTCAGTGACATAAATTAGCACAGAATTGAATAATCTTGCAATTCTAATGCATTCGAGAGAAATTTCCAGAGCAGGGATTTAATAAAAGTGATTTGGGGGGGAATGCGGATTCATACCAAAAGGGAAAAATACGGATTCATACCAAAAGGGGATGTTAAATTGAAATAGTTTTATTCACATATACCTTTAAATAGATTAGGCAACTGCAATTTCAAGATGAATATGAGAGACTTTCAGAATGAGCAATTGGAAAAGATAGCANTATCAGAGTGAGCAATTGGAAAAGATAGCAAATAAGATTTATACCCTAAAAAGATTAAAACATTCTCACACCATTTTTAATACGTTCATCTCCTTCCTCCATATCATAATCCGCATCCATAAATCCCACCCCAGTCGATGCCGGAACCTCAACCACCGCACCCTCTTCTCAATTTTTCATATCACCTTCCAATTTTCTTTCTTCGACCCGAATTTCATCAATTCCTCCTCCTCCTAGTTCCTCCTCTACTTTTTTACACATTTCCTTTGTCTCTTTCTTGCTACGGTGGCGATGATGCTTTCGATATTGGAAGGCTCCTCCCAAGTCTTCGGGAGCTGGGAACCTCAATCATGCAAGAGGTGCTAGCATTTAGCAGATGGGGCAAGATTATTATTTCAAAAGAGACTCTTCTTCCAATGTTGTAGTAACATTCCAATATGGGATACTAGTCAATTGTCAATTCGGGTTTGTTTGATTACAGAGATGGAAAATTGGTGGAAATAAAATACTTTATAGGAATTAAATTGTCTAGAAATTATTTTACTAGGAATTATAATTAATTGTATTTGATTGATAAAATTTTCCACCTAAAAAATGTTGAAAGTTTGGTATCCGTTTG